CTCCGTCAGTGACTGGTACCCGCGAGAAAGTGAACGGCCACTTGGATAGCCCCTGAAGGGACGGCGCACATACAGTGAACAAGCATTAGATATTAATTGAAGGTATGGAACGTCCACTTAAGACAGGTTCTCGGCGTCTGGGAGCATCTCAGGAGCATCATCAGTTTGGGACACCCAAAGTGGTTGTACGAGTGGTCGTGGTATTCCTGGTGACTCCTTTATCCAACCCAAGTTTCGGCGGTGAAATTTTGCTAATTGCTTTGCTGGCTTCATGATTTGCAGAAGACTGCTCCATATATTGTTCGATTTATTCAGTGGTACACACTGCGAAGGATTTAACTGTTTCAGACAAAAATGAATGGGCAACACATTGCGAGAAATTTAGTTCGCCAGAATTTTGTCTCTTAGGGCCATTTCAGGAAATACTGCGTATAGCTAATGCTAATTTTGAAGAGTCAGTACAAAACTGTTAGTTGCGGAATATGATCTGTTTAGAGATTTGCATGGAAGAGAAGCAGGAAGGACAGTGTGCGGGTACATTCCCTCGATACTGGTACAATTCGAAACTGAAGCGGTGCGAGAGATTTATCTACACTGGTTGCAAAGGCAATAGGAATCAATTTGGAACCGAAGACGAATGCAAGCGAATGTGCCTGGAAGGTTATCAAAGTCCAGTCGGAGAAGTTGGCAAGTTTCCCCACTGGTCGGAAAAAAAACATTTTTGTTTACAGTACATTTTCATGAAACTGAATAAACCCATTGTGCCAGTGGGACATCTTGTACGAATCGTTCTGATGATAAATTAGTACCAATATATGCCAGGGAATCAAATACGCCATCAGCTTGCTTCTAACTAATTCTCGTCAAGAGAGTCACCAACAGCCTTATCATCTCGGATTGCTATTAACACTGCTACCAATTCCGGCTGCTTCCGAATGAACTCATTGCGTAGTTCAAACGAACATGAAAAAAGTTTTAGCTTTTGACTTTTTAAAAATCGCGAGTTACAAAATCCAAACGGGCATTTTTTTTCAAACACTTCATTTGGATATTTATCTGAGCTTTAAATTTTATTCTTTACAAGAAAAATGTGTAAACAACAGAAAACGATTACGTAACTGCCAAATACAAGTTTATCAGCGCTTTTTTCTACAGTTCCCGGGCATCAGTTGATTTATGAGTTTGGTGGAAACGAAATTAATGATGGTGGTCCGCCGGTTGATTGTGTGATTTCGGAATGGACGCCGTGGGGAAATTGCTCAGCAACGTGCGGGTCAGGAAAAAGGCAACGTTCCAGACAAATTGAGGTACTTTTACATTTATTCTACAGCACGCTGACCGTGGTAATCCAGTGAGGACGGTAAAGGGTATGGCAAGAGGAGGTGGAAGGGAGAGAGGAAGCAGCTGATCTTTGTTTTAAAATGAAAAGTATTGGTGTGAAAAACAAAATCAAGCTTTTTTGGTTCAGGTGTTCGCGAGGAATGGTGGTCGCGCCTGCCCCGAGCATATGGTGCAGGAACGACGTTGCGAACTGAGACCTTGTGGTGAGTCTTGACTCATTAATATTATTATTTTTAGTTTTACCTGTCAGATAGAAAGAGTCAAATACCTCATGTGCTTAATTACGTCGCTTCAGTATTTCTATCGTTTTATGAAGTTGAAGTAATCGCTAGTGGGTCGAATGAAAAAAATTTGCCCATACGGGCTGTTTGCTAGAAAGGATGCCATCGCTCCTTACTCAGAAGATCTAAGCCGAAGATGTTAATTTCTAGAGATTCTAGGCAGGCTAGTATCTACATGCAGTTGGGAGAAGTCGTAGATCTAACCTGCCACTTGAAGCTCTGGATTCAATACCAGTTACACCAGGTTTGCGAATTCCAATGCCCTCCCGATGGTTTGCTAAAATAGTCCGCCGGGAAAGGCAAATAATTCTACGCTTTTATTTTTTACAGTTATGTGTTGAAAAGAACATCACTGATCTAAGGTCAGCCAGTTTTATAACAAAAAGCACCATCATAATCAAATTAGTATTTTTATATTAGCGTAATATATAGATCCTTGTTCTTCCATGCCCTTATGCTTTTCAGGCCAAAAACAGTTGCTAAGTTCCAGCTTCAATTCTAAAAAGTGCTGCAAAAGTTGAAGCTTTTGTATGGAAAGAGCCAGACAGGTGCTCTGAAATTGTACTCTTGATTTTTACATGCGGGAAATTCCTAATTAACAGATGTCGCTGGATTGCAGCAATCCAAAAGTGCCACATCAAACCGTGGTCAACGTGGTCAGCGTGTCCAGTGACATGCGGCGATGGGCAACAATTTCGGCGCAGGCGCATTATCAGACCTCATCGCTATGTGGACGAGGATGAGGATCCGGCATGTAATGCTCCGGAAAAGGAGCATCGGCCATGTCATGTGAAGTGCTAATCCCGTGAACCACTGCCAGCTGTGTGTGACCCATTCACTTTGCTCAATTTTATTTTAAATAATTTTATTTATTTATTTATTTTTTTGTCGTTCTACAAAATAAACAACGTCGTTCCCTCTTTGTTACAAACGAGAAACGCCTGTTGACGAGCATGACGCAGTAGTTAAAAACACTCTTATGATGGAGATCGGGAGTTCAATTCCGCCACTGGGATAACCTTCACGATTCACTTATCGGTTTCAATGACAAATTGGTAAAGACTTATATTTGGGATTCAGTTTCACCATAATCTTGTTTCTAAGCGATCTTCAAAAGAGTGAGTCATTGATTAGCCTTACCAGCAGATGGATATTGTGTATTTATTTTGTTATCATTCGGCTAGTTTTGCGCACCTCTCTCTCGAATAAAGGGCATGTTGAAGAAGTTTTGACGAGAAAGACCTTTCTCCATGGTTTTTGTTACTGCCTGGGCTGGGAAGTATTTTTTTTTCGGAATTGCTATGGATACTTCCTGGGCTGGAAACTGCATCACTGTTTATCTACAAAGCTTTGGTTAAGTTGTAAGTGAAAAATAATGATTAAGTGAATTAATCAAATAATCGTAATTCTGTTGGTTCAATGCGCACGACACTCGTTTTGTACGCCGGAGCATTGTCATCCGGCGACGAAACATCAATTTTCCTTAGTCGCGCCTCGTTGTCTTTCAGTTGATGGGATCCTGTCTTCAGCTCGGCTATGTGTCTCGCCTAAAAAGCATTACTTAGCCCCCAGTTTCTGGTCTCATCACAGTAAAAAGCAGTTGCAATTTTAAGCCTTTGAAACTGGAATCTTACCGTAAGATAAGCGATGATTGCGCCAACCACATATCCAACGATAATATCGTGCAAATGATGCTTTCCATCCATTATACGACTATATCCAGTATACAGCGCCAAGCAAATGGCCGCCATTTGGGCCAGTGGCCGAATGATAATAGCAAGACCTCTTCGCGTCACTCGAGACTGCATATAAATCTGAATGCTGCGCAGCTCTATTTTGCTGTTCTGATAGATCGTTATTTTATTGTTACGCATCTTTCTTCCAGCATCTATGCACTTCAGGTTTTTGCAAGCCCATAAGACTAATTTTTTCCTGATAAGATGAAATCACATCTAAATTTATACCCTATTCATAACCCGAAAGCAAAAAATTCACATTTTAACAATTCACGTTTTCGCAAATGTATGTAGTCAAAAAAGTACCCAGGAAGCTGCGAAATTTTTGGTTAACTTACGACGAAAAACACGGCTGTTGCCATGGCTAGTGCAGAATGCCCACTGAAGAACGAGAGTCTTGCATCCTTGACCGCAGCATTATCTCTTCCCCGACACCGGTAAATTTCAATGTAGCTCTGGTTTCGGCAGCTAAGCATATCGTATACTGGTCTGCATACATCCACGAAATTGGGCCTCAGCTCACCAACGATGTATTTGGTTGGCGTAACTATCATAAATGTTAGCAGCACTGCCAGAAGATGATAAGCTGCAACTGGATTGTGCTGCTTCAGTTGCTAAATACATTGATATTTTTATCAGATGCAGTTCATAGTACTGAGTTTTTGCATTCTGTGGATATACTAGCTTCCAAAAAAAATTGATTCTTTGCCGTATTAATTTGGGTTGATCTCAAACTCAAATTTTTCGCATCACCTTTCAATAGTTTTTAGCAAATTTTTTTTAATATAATTTTTTTGCGAGGACATTAGTCTATTGGATACGTTAGTGCTTTGTAATGTCTTTGCATAATGCAGTAATTTGGTGTTTAGTTTTTCCACTGGCATAACCACGCTTTTCTTGAAATAATTTTTGCTGCCTTTCACATTTGTAGGATTTCAACTTAAGGAAAAATAAGAGATGTTTTCAGCAAAAATTCATACACAAACGACGGAACTGAAAGTTCGCATACCGTAGTATTTGAAGCAGTTCACCAAGACCTGGTTGACACTGTATCCACGCCAACTATACAGTTCTTTATAGCGTGAGGAGCGGCAAAATTCTGTAATCAGGATCTGAAATTTGACTTGAAATTTGAAATGAAGAACAGATGCAACAGATCGACTCTCCAAACGAAGCTGTTTGGATTAAAAGCAAGAGTAATTTACATTTATAGTTTGGTAACCTGGGGATGAAGCGGATTTTAAGGTGGCTTGTAAACTGATCGCCAGCAACCATGATATAAATTAACAACTATCCTAGATATTCCTGGCAACATGGTCAGTAAGTCCTAAGACTACTTCCTATCATAACAAAGATACGGTCATGGTCGTCGATAAAATTTACGATCGTGATTATCATTCCGAATTTGAAAAATTTTAATCCGCCATAAACTAACAGCAAAAAGCGGGCCAATGAATATGACTGCAAGTAGCAGTGATGTGCTGACTGTGCTATGCTTATAAGGGAGACGAATTGCTGGATCATTGCAAGAAAATCCACGACGATACGGCTCGAAATAGCGGGGCACGAACTGAAAAGCGAGTCCTGAAAGCGATTTAGTAAATTTAGTTCAAGAACCTTGAAGCTTAATTTCAATTAACATGCCGAACTTTAAAATTAAAAGGTTCATGCAATCGCTGCCGGCAACGGCGCTATTTTCATTCCTGCCCTTTTAACAATTTTGAGAATAGCAGATAAGGATACAGCAAAAGCTGAATACTAATTTATGTTGCACACGCATCGGACAATCGGTTGGGCTCAGGATCGAAGGAGCTGACACAGTTGCGCTGAGAGTGTGGAAGCGTTCCTGCAACATCACTAGCATGGGACATCCAATCAGTTGTCCGCAATCTTGATATGCGGAACCAACCAATTTGTCAAAATTTTCATTTCATTGTCTTATTCGTTGTATAATTGTATAATTAAAGCGATTTTGAAATGGTGGTCACGGGTCACAAAGAGATGGCAGAGAAGGAAACGTGTGACACAATTTTGAATTTGTAACCCTGCAAGACATCGGGAGCTATGTTTTCTGAATCTGACGCTCTTAAATTCCACTTTTATCGATTAAAATTATTTGGCCAACACGCAGATCATAACACTGTAGCAAACTTGTTTTTTATTTATAAAAACAATTTACAAGCAGCTTCTAGAGGACAAAACCGTTGCCATTGGGTGAATGCCTTTAGCAGGTACTACCAAATAGACTATTTGTCAGTGCCTACGTCTTCACAGAAAGTGAATTGCAAAAACGGTTATAACTTTGATTTGTATAAACTGATGAAATAAAAAAATTAAATCTACTGACCGAGAAAAATCCCAATGAATAAATTGAGAATGAATGGCCCAAGAGAAAGTTCTTTATGCACGGGGAATTTGCTTGTTGCGACCAGCGGGTCCGCGTGATGGGAAGACGTGGCCTGCAACATAACTTTCGATATACTGGAAGCTGCAGCCCAGGAGTAAAAAGTAGGACGAATTTGTAACAATAATTCAGATTTTCAAAAATGACTGAAAAAAGAAGACGATCTGCTTCTGAAAAAACCATCATTCTCTTTATTTTTATTTTT